CGGCAGCTGGGAAGCTTGGCTTCCTCTATCATTGGGGTTAACCACGCCTCCTGCTTGCTCCAGCTCTGTGGCTGCCGGCCGTCATCTTGGTTGGGTTAATTTGCATATAGTCACTCGGATTGGCTGGTGGGCGTGGCTTAAGGTGTAGCGAAGGTATGGTCAATTTGTATGTTTGTCTTTTATTAGTGTAGACTAGAGGCCCAATGCATGAAAATTCATGCATTAGAGGGCGGGGTCCCTCAGCCTGGCCTGCCCCCTCTCACAGTCTGGGATACCTCAGGGGCGGTCGGCGACCCGGCGATCAGGGGAAGGCGACGCCACATCACACCTCTGCTGCTGCCACTGCTGGCAGCCAAGCCTTGGTCGGCCCTGGTTACCTAAGCCTCGGCCGGCCCTGGTTACCTGAGCCTAGGACGGCCCTGGGTGGCTGGGGGGCTGAGGGGCCTGGGTGCCGCCATCTTGTGGCTGTGGGTGCCGCCATCTTTGAGGGCATGGCAGTCAATTAGCATATTCCCTCCTTATTAGCTGTGGGCACCACCATCTTTGAGGGCGGGGCAGTCAATTAGCATATTCCCTTCTTATTGGCTGTGGGTGCTGCCATCTTTGAGACATTGTGAGGGTCAATTAGCATATTCCCTCTTTATTAGATAGGATTGGATAATTAACTCACCCTACACAGCACATTTAACGAACACCACTGTACTCATCTACCCAGAGTTAACAAATGTTTTGCCACAACTGCTTCAAAATAATTTAAATCAAGTAATATATTATCAATAGAATGGAAGGCTCCTTCCATTGAAATTCTCTCTTTTCAAAATATGTTGTACTTTGTATGAATTCTGCAAGAATTCCTTCCTAAATGGAACTTATAAAAATGACATTTCACATTCAGGTACTTCAGTCAACCTAGAATTTATTTTTATGTATGGTGTGGGGTTGAACTTTGATTCCCATCTCCTTTCCATATAGCTACCTAATTTTATCAGGGCTATTTATTCAATAATCCTTTCATTTCTAATTGATTAATAGATCCCTCTCTGTCACATACAAAATTCCATATATTAGGGGGTCTGTTTTTTGTTTTCTTTTCTGTTTTATATTACTATCATAGTATTTATTTTCTTTTGGTTACCAGAGGGGCAAAAGGTGGGGGGAATGGAAGAGATTAGCTAAAGAACACATATGTATAGACTATGGACACAGACAACAGGCTGTACGGGGGTGTGGGGGCGGGGTGTGTCACTTCATGAAGGAGGACAAGGCAGGGGAAATGGGGGACATCTGTGATAGTATCAACAAAAAATGTTATACTTTCTTTTTCTATTCTTCTAGTGAATACCATTAACATTTTATTATGCTTTCTTGTACTTCTGCATTCCTTGTGAACAGAGATACTGACTGTCCTTTGTTCTGGATTATCTTTTCAAATATAAGTACACAAGAACAGCCTGGGAAAACAGAAACAGAATCTCCCTTTGCAGCAAAGGACAAGTTTTCTTACTGGTATACCCTTGGAAGAAAAAGAGAGTGTTTTTCTCTCTCTAGAGCAAAGGGAAGGCATTTTAAAAATTCAAATTCCCTAAAATCAGGGTTTTTCTCCTATAACGTGATTCATTGCATATACAAGTACCACCTAGACCCTTTACTTTGTCTCAGTGGGACTAACACAAATATGTGAACCAACATATTTGGGGAACCAACACAAATATGTGAATGTTCAGGTCGCTTGTTCTGCTGTCAGTGAAAGTCCTTTGTCTCTGACACAGGAGTCTTGTGTTTTCCACCAACAGCCATTAAACAGTAAAAGGCTCATTTATTAGCTTTTAAATAGGGTAAAATCAAATTGTTTGAAAAACATATTAGTGTTATGTTAAACTGTGTTGTGAAGGGTTTTCACTTGGATTTTATGAGACTTGGGCCTATTTTTGTAGAATTAGGAAATCTGAACTTAGTGGATTCTTAAGTAGCTTCTGTGTTTTGCTTGATATGTTACCTTGGGAGCTTTGCCAGATTTTGGCTTACTTCATTAGCATCTCTACAGTTCATGTTAGCTGAAAGTCAGAGTTGACTTGCAAAGAGTAGCAATGGTGTGGCTTAGCCCATTACTCACCTGCAGTATGTGACAGGGAGTCAAGCCTCTTTTAAGTGGAAGTTAGACTACAGTATCATAGGTTTTTGTAAACCTCAAAAATTCCTTTTGAGATAGAGATCTCAGGTTCCTGGAAGGTAACCACACCGACTTTATACTACTAACAAAAGACTGTAATTAGTAGCAGGAACTTGTTCAGATTGGACTTCTTATGACAACAAAAACTTTAAAAACAGCACTCTTTCATGCTGCCAATTTCTGCTTTATCTTTGACCTCATGTTAATAATGTGCCAGGTACTTACATCTGGAATAAATCCAATCTCATTGAGATGATTACTCAGCTCTGGATCATGGAATGCAATCATCTGAGAGAACACAGTCAAATACTCTGAAATGACAATAAAATTTAAGACAATCGTCATTTTCGCCCAGTACCTCAAATAAAACATCAAATTCATATACATTAGTTTATTTATATTTTGAATGAAAGTTAATTTCTCCATTAAAACGTGCTTTAATAATTTGATTTTGTTACCACTTTAATCAGTTACTGCTAACTACCAAACATACCAACAAACTATGATATAGCTTATTTTCCATCTTCAGACCTATTAGTTCATTTCTTTAATCACAAATTATACACATGATGAATGATGTTTTCCTATTAGGTTCTACAAATACATTTAATTTAGTAATGTTAAATTGAATTTCTTTTATGTTTGGAAAGTGTAACAAATAAGCAGTACCAAATAGAATAATTATACCTCAAATTTGATACTATATACAGACATAGGCATTTGTTCCAGTTCTAATTTATTTCCACTCTGCATTTGGCATATTTAGAAATAAGAATTAACATCATGCTAATAAGAAAACAGGAATACAGTAGGCAAGTAAGTGTTGATTCTAATCCTATACTAATTCATAGGGTTCAGTTGCATTGTAAGGAATATTTTCTTATTTTGTCCAACAATTTACTATTATTCCAATTTACTAACTATGTACTAATCTAAACAATATACTTATAACAATCTACTCAAGGGCAAGTAACCATCATTTTGAACATATTAAAAACAAAATTAAAACATATTTCAAAAATGACAGTAATCCAATGAAAGATTCTTCTTAATTAATAACCTCAACTCGTTCTTTCAATAAAGTTATAAATCTGTTTTTCAAACCAATTATTTGGTGAAAATAACCTCCTAATATAATGTCTACTATTCTCTTTTAGTTTTTAAAGTTCTTTACTTTTAAGTTTCAAGAACTTGTGTAAAATTTTGACAATCTGTTAGTACAAGTAGCCTTCCCCTATTTTCCACAATTAAAATTTTGATTCTAATGATCATAAATGTTTTTATAATTATCCTATACTAGAGGCCTGGTGCACAAAAATTTGTGCACTCGGGGAGGGGGGTGGAAATCCCTCAGCCCGGCCTGTGCCCTCTCGCAGTCTGGGAACCCTCAGGGGATGTCCACCTGCTGGCTTAGGCCTGCTCCCCAGGGGAATGGGCCTAAGCTGGCCGTCAGACATCCCTCTGGCAGCCTGGGAGCCCTCAGGGGATGTCCATTTGCCAGCGGGAGCAGGCCTAAGCTGCAGTCTGACATCCTTAGTGCTGCTGAGGAGGCAGGAGAGGCTCCCGTCACCACTGCTGTGCTGGCAGCCGTCAGCCTGGCTTGTGGCAGAGCAGAGCTCCCCCTGTGGGAGTGCATTGACCACCAGGGGTAAGCTCCTGCATTGAGCATCTGCCCCCTGGTGGTCAGTGTGTGTCATAGTGACCAGTCATTTCCAGTCCTTCTGCTGTTAGGGTCCATTTGCATATTACCCTTTAATATATAGGATAGAGGCCTGGTGCACGGGTGGGGGCCAGCTGGTTGGCTCTGAAGGGTGTCCCGGATCAGGGTTGGGGTCCCGCTGGGGTGCTTGGCCAGCCTGAGTGAGGGGCTGAGGGCCGTTTTGAGGCTGCCCGCAGCTCCTTCAGGGTGGGGGGTCCCGCTGGGGTGCCTGGCCAGCCTGGGTGAGGGGCTGATGGCCGTTTTCAGGCTGGCCACGCTCCTTGGTGACCCAGGCTCCCTGCCTCTTCTTTTTTTCCTTTTTTTTTCTTTTTTTCAGCGCCTTCTTGAGCGGATGCCTGGGCAGGCTGGAAGCAGGTATCTGGGATTTATTTATCTTCTATAATTGAAACTTTGTAGCCTTGAGCAGAGCCCAGGTCCAGCTGGAAGCCTGGGTTGCTCAATGCAGGAGCTGTCTCCTGGTGGTCAGTGCACTCCCACAGGGGGAGTGCTGCTTAGCCAGAAGTCGGGCTCACGGCTGGTGAGTTCAGCGGTGGTGGTGGGAGCCTCTTCTGCCTCCGCGGCAGTTGGACATCCTCTGAGGGTTCCTGGACTGTGAGAGGGTGCAGGCTGGGCTGAGGGACACCCCCCACACCCCTGGGTGCATGAATTTCATGCACTGGGTCTCTAGTTTACCTATAAGCAATGTCACATGTTTTACAAAGAGAAGCACCAAAGCCAAAGAGAAAAGATGAGGAAGTACTGTATTCAATATCACAATAAAGCTAAATTCTCTATTTAATATGAAATTTTACCCATGGGTACTAAATAAAAAATGGGTTAATACTTTTGGATTAATATTTTTTCATGACTGAATGTTTATTCTACTGCAACAAAATTCTTTTCTCTATCCATTGTCTCATCTTTTCCTCTAAGAAGAAAAAAAAAAGTACAATTGTATCAGGTTCAAGAGTTCCAGATTAGAGACCCAGGACAGATAGCAAGGTCCCAGGAAACTTTGAGATTTAACTGTTTTTTAACTACATTTTTCTCCTTCCAATTAGTGATGCTATATTTTTAGTCCTAATTTACACAAAAACCAGAGGTATGTAACATCAACAATCATAAGAACTCAACTGCATGTTGATGAAACCATATAATTATTAACCTTTTAAAAAGCACGGGTCAGGCAATTTTCCGCAACTAGTCTCATTTACTAAATATCATTCTTATTTGAGCTTGATAAAAGATAAGTACTATGTGGCATTACATGGCTAATTGAAGTTTAATGAAGAAACTTAATTTATCATGAAAACATTGTACTTGTGTTCTGCCAAACATTGATGGCTACATTTATATATGTGTCTATAATATACTTGTGATATAAATAATATACACAAATAAATACATGTATATTTTTATTTTATATTATTATATGTAATATATTATTTAATATATAAAAATAAGTTGCATGTAAATATAAGTTATAAATTTTGGTTGCTTGGGGCAGGCTTTAGATCATTTATAGCATGGCTTGTTATATTCAGAAAAATGTCTTGCTTCAAAGAGGTGTAAGACACATGATGCAAGACATTCTTGAAAATGTCAAGGCCGTACACTCAATGTATTCAATACTATATCCCAATATCCCCAATATCCAATCATTAAATCATTCATGACAAAGACATGCATTAAACTAAATATATACTTCACTGCTTTCTCAAATACTTAACCTTTATAATAAAGTTGCATATTTCCCCTCTCTGTTATTGTTTGATGAGAAAGAAGTTCTATATTCACATTTGACAACTGGATTTAGATTTTGACATCTGTCCTTTAGACTTTGACATCTGTCCTCTTTCCTCCCCTTTCCTCAAAGACTTACTGAATGTAGTGTGACCATACATCCTAGTTTACCTGGGCAAGTCTCAACTGCCACCTGTAGACTCAGTGACTAGTACATTCAGTGCCCCTTTAACTCTGAAAAATATCACAGTTTAGGTTTATAGTCATCCCAGCTATGGGTGGGACTAATGGAACATCACAACGAAGAAGATACTGCCCCTGCCCTCAAAGGATTTAAAAAGACATGCAGGGAAACAAAAGATTAGGGAAATTTTCACCCAATTTTCTTTTCCAGGTTTATATGGTATACTCCTCCATCTTTCCTATTGTGACTTTATATAGTATCTCCCTTCATCTTTGCTTTTCTGACTTATAGCCACCACATCTTACAATGGTCCAAATGTGAATATGCCTTGGTTTTATAAACAGTACAAGAATATGTTTAATGTTGTGCCAAAAATTCCAATTATTGTTTTTGGGAACAAAACCTAGTACAATAACTTCAAAGAACAGTGTAAAAGTTTTATAGAACAGTTTTCTAGGTTGCTCCTTTCTTAAGTGCAAAATGACATTAAAGTATAGTTGGGTTTTCCACAAAGGATTTATTCCCAATATTAATAGCTAAATGGCTGCCTCTTTCTTCACTTGCCTAAAGCTGACCTTTCTTTCTTCAATGGCAAGAAAGTACGTCTGTCCTACAAGTTATAAGCCTATTTTCCAATATCTCTAAAACTATATTCAATATATCCCTTTCAAATCCCCCCTATCTTTCACATCCAACCGGAACTCTAAGGCTTTGCATCTTAGAATAATTTTAGTAATCTTAGATAACATAGAGGCTAAAACCCTGAGTTTGTAAATTAGTACATTAATTTTTAAAGTACTGTGTGTTGGCATTTTATCAACTCAATAGCAACATGCAGGGGAAAATTTGATAGTACTTAGAATGATGAATATTAATTTAGGCCAGAAAAAATTAAATTTATTATCTTCTTAAAAATGTCTGCAGGCAAATAGTAAATAACACTATGGTTATCAACAACAACAAACCCAGATATCTTGAATAAATAGATAATTTTTCTCTCATCAAAAGATGCAAAGCGTTCTATGGTCCTATAAATATACAAATCGTATATATTATATGAAAGACTTTAAAATAAAAAATTAAAGTTGCTATTGAATATAGAAACTTTTGATTTCTGTAGAGATAAGTGAATAAATAAATATGCAATTCTACAAACAGCCATTAATCAGTTTCATATGACATACAAACTTTCCAAAAGTTGTGGGAGCAAAGGGTACATGTGATATTTATGTCAAACAAAATCAATGCTACTTTGAAGTTTAAACCTTAAAACACTATAAAACAAAATGGTGGGGAAGGACAAAGAGGGAAACCAATAAAATGAGATTCAAATATTTCTAAATGCAAGCCTAAAATAGACATTTTGTAGGAAAAGAAACCACTGTACTTCCGTAAACTTTAGTAACCAATAATCACTATATGGTTTCAGCTCCTTGTTTTGCTCTCCATTCTTCTCTTTCCAACTCCATGTACCAGATTTGACTACTGGCTGTTTTATATACTCATTTTCATGTTTTTACTGCAATGCTCTTCCTTGTTCTTTTTATAAAGAATGTCCTTCTCACCCTAACCGGCTTGGCTCAGTGGATAGAGCATCAGCCTATGGACTGAAAGGTCCCAGATTCGATTCCAGTCAAGGGCATGTACCTTGGTTGCGGGCACATCCCCAGTAGGAGGTGTGCAGG